ACCTGATGAGGTTTAGAACCAGGAACAATTCTATCTAGGTTTGCTGAAGGTCAAATAAGCTCGAGTTAAAATGGTGGTTAATCTTGTCTCTCTCAAAGTTTTCATGGGTAATTGTTAAGAAAGTTTTGCTTGGATGACAAATGGGATTACATCTAGGTCTTTTCCAAATAGGATAAAGTGCTAAAGCATTGATTACCAGACAGAGATTTGTGCTTTTAAAGGATATTTGGGTCTGTTGGTAAAAAAAATGGTTAATCTTGTCTATCTTAAAGTTTTCATGGGCAATTGTTAAGATAGTTTTCAAAGTCTCTGGTAAATGATATTTGGGTCTCTTGGTAAACATGATGCTGTCAACCCAAACTCAGGAAGAAAACACCAACAGTTTTTTTAGAAAAATTGAGAGAGGTCTCATTATCTCCCCAGTTCTCCCGAGGCTGAGATCATTCTTAAAGCCCAGATATTCGGGAAAAAACTGCAAAAGTTGGCTGTTGGCCCCAAAGGGACCCTAGAAGAGCTCTAATGAGTTGTCAACAAATCTTTTACAGTCAGGACCAAGAGGAGAGAGAGGAACAGAAGCTAAAGAGAAGTCTGAGGCTTTGGTTGTGGCCTTGCATGCTGTTGCCAGCTTGGCTTCCCAAGGCTCTGGCACCAAATGCCATCTCTGTGGCCACCCAGGACATCGGAAGTGAGAATGCCCCCAGTGGCAAAAACCAAGGCCATGTAACCCTTGTCCCACTTGTGGAGGTGGACACTGGAAATCTGAATGCCCTCAGGGACCTCAATCTGTGAGGGCTCAAGGGGCCAGCGCCCCTGTTTGGGACTGATGGGGCCCGGGGCTCTACGTGGTGGCTCCTCTGAAACAGCTCACCGTAGGGAACCCAGAGCCTCAGGTAATTTTGGAAATAGAAGGAAAACCAGCCAATTTCCCTCTTGATACTGGAGCCACTTTTCTGTTCTACTCTCTGCCCCAGGGCCAACTGTTCAATCACAGTGTTGTCATTAAGGGTGTCACAGGGTGACCCATAAGCCAAATTTTTGTCTTGCCTTCTGGGATGCACCTGGGGAGATTCAATTCTCTCTTACTCTTTCTTAATGCCTAAGAGCCCTACACCTCTCTTAGGTAGAAGTATTAACTCTCATATTGATAGCCCCTGGGCAGACTAGCAGTTGCCTCCCCTTAATAAAGGCTGATATTAATTCCCAGGTGTGCACAACTCAGGCTGAAATGGTTTGGGCCTTAACAGCAGTGCCCGTTCTCATACATCTTATACATCTTAAGGACCCCACAACTTTCCCTTGCTGGAAAGGTTTTTTTGGGCATAACAGGACACTGGATGACAGGTGCAGGGAGGGTTAATCAGATTGAAACAGCCCACTAACAAGCCCATAAAAAACCCTAGACTTAGAAACTCTGGTGGCAACCCCTTTGGGTCCCCTCCCTCCTCAGGAGAATTGTACTATCACTTTGCTATCAGTCAATAAACCATGTTTTGCTGTCAAAAAAAAAAAAAAAAAAGAACACTCCTTCCAACCACAGAAAAATGTACATATTCTTCTCAGGTTGGCATGGAGTATGGCCCAAGATAGACAACATTCTGGGCTATAAACATACCCATTAGAATTTTTTTTTAAAAATAGAAATCATACAAAGTATGTCCTTAGATATCAATGGAATTAAACTGGAAATCAAAAATAGCAAGATGGTTTGAAATCTAAAAATATTTAGAGACTAAATAGCATATAAATAACACATGGACCAAAGAAAAAGTTTTAAGAGAAATTTTTAAATATTTGAACTTAAATGACAATGAAAATAAAACATTAAAATTTGTGAAATGCAGCAAAAGCAATGCTTAGAGGGAAATTTATAGCATTAAATTGCCTATATTAGAAAATTAGAAAGACCTGAAAACTAATAATCTAAGTTTCCTCCTTAAGAAACTTAGGTGATTGAGTGAGAGAGAATATGTGTGTGTTGGGGGGGGGGGGGGAAGGAATATAAGCCAAAAACAGGCAGAAGAAAAGAATAATTAAATGAGAGCAGAAATTAGTAAAATTAAAATCAGGAAATCAATATAAAAAGCCAACAAAATTAAAAGCTGATTCTTTGAAAAGCTCAATAAAATTTATAAACCTATCAGCTAACAAAGAAAAAAAAAGAGAAGACATAACTTACTAATATAAATAAAAGAAGGCTAATCACTACTGATCCTATGAATATTAAAAGGATAATAAAAAAAATTTTTAAACAACTCTATGACCCCAAATTTGATAACTTAGATGAAATGGACCGATTCCTTGAAAGATACAAACTACCAAACATGATACAAAGAGAAAGAGATAATTTCTATACCTATTAAAGAAATCAAGTCAAAATACCAGGCCCATATGGTTTTACTGATGTATTTTACCAAACATTTAAGGAAGAAATGATACTGGTCCTCCATAGTCTTTCCCAGAAAACAGAAGCAGAGGGAACACTTTCTAACTCATTCCAAAAGGCCATTCTACTACCAAAACCAAATAAAGTCATTGAAAGAAAGGAAAACTGAAAACCAATATCTTGCATGAACACAGATGTAAAAATCTTCAACAAAATATTAGCGAATCAAATTCAACAATATATAAAAATCATTATACAACACGGACCAAGTGATATTTATAGCAGGCAGCCATGACTGATTTAACATTTGAAAATCAATCAATGTAATCCACCACATCAACAGGCTAAAGAAGAAAAAGCATATGACATCATCAACTGATGCAAAAAATGCATTTGACAGAATCCAACATCCATTCACAATTAAAAAAAAAAAAACACCTCTCAACAAACTAAGAATAGAGGAAAACTTCTTCAACTTGAATAAGAACATCTACAAAAACCCTACAGGTAACATCATACTTATGCTACGAAACTGGATGCTGCCTCCTTAACACTGGGGAGAAGGTAAGAATGTCCCTTCTCACCATACCTATTCAATGTTGTACTGGAAGTCCTAGAAAGTACAATTAAGACATACATATATATCAAAAAGAAGAATTAAAACAGCTCTTTTCTGCAAAAGCTTAATTGTCTACATATAATATCCCAAAAAATTGATAACAAAACTTTTGAAACTAATAAGCAATTATAGTAAGGTTACAGGATATGAGGTTTATATATGAAAGTCAATTGCTTTCCTACATAACAGAAATGAACAATTGGAATTTGAAGTGAAAAATACAATACCATTTACAATAAATAACAAAAAAAAATGAAGTACATAAGAATAAACCTAATAAAATATGCAGAGTTTATATATTTGTGAAAAACTACAAAATTCTGATTAAAAAATTAAAAATATATCTAAATCCATGGAAAGGTATTCCACAGTCATTGACCAGAAAACTCAATATTGTTAAGATTTCAATTGTTCCCAATTTGACCTATAGATTCAAAGCAAATCATTACCCAACTAGCTATTTTATGGATATAAGGAAACTGATTCTAAAGTATATATGGAAAGACGGAAGACCTGGAGTAGCCAACAAACCACTAAAAAAGAAGAATAAATTTTCAGGACTGACATTAACTTCAAAACTTACTAATCTACAGTAATCAGAACAGTGTGGTACTGCCAAAAGAATAGACATTTGGATCAATGGAAAAGAAAAGAGAGCCCAGAAACAGACCCACACAGATATAGTCAAACGATCTTTGACAGAAAAGTAAAGGCAATTCAATGGAGAAGGGAGAGTCTTTTTAACAAATAGTGCTGGAACAAGTAGAAACCCACATTGAAAAAAAGAAGAATCTAGATACAGTCTTTATACCCTTCACAAAAATCAAATCAAAAGGGATCATAGACCTAAATGCAAAGTGCAAAACCATAAGACATCTAGAAGAAAACATAGGAGAAATTTTAGGTGTTCTTGGGCCTGTCAAGGTATTTTTAGATGCATTACAAAAGCACATCCATGAAAGAAAAATGTTGGACTTTATTAAAATTAGTAACTTCTGCTCTGTGAAAAATACTACAAAGTGAATGAAGACAGGCCCCAGACTGGGTGATAATATAAGCAAAACACATATCCGATAAAAGACTTGTATTAAAAATATACAAATAATCAAAACTCAACCAAAAGAATACAAGCAACACAAGCAGAAAATGGGCAAAAGATCTGGAAACCTCGCTATAGGGAACATAAGGATGACAAATAAGCATATGCTTAACATCACTTGTTATTAGAGAATTGCAAATTATAACAACAACAATATATCACTACATACTTATTAGAATGGCTAAAATCCAAAACCTGACAATACCAAATACACAGTTACATATTTAGAATTAAGAACTATAGACAAATTTCTTACAATTGCTCTGTTCAAACAAGTGAACCATTAAGAAGTGGCTGAAGAAGAAGCTTGGTGAGGAAGTCCATTTTTCTCTGAAAACTAAAAAAAAATTATTTGTATCTAGGGAACAAAAGCAGATATGGAATGTACTTGGTTATAGTACTGGATAGAGGATACACACACACAATTTCTATTTATCTGATATGGAAAGTAGGGATTAGGCAATATATTTTGAACCAAAAGTAGCAAATAGATACAGCTGAGCCACAAAAAGTCACAAGTTCTCAAATCTTCTATTGCCAAAACTGTCGGAAGGCAACAAGCCCAACCATTCAGAACATAAGATGTGACGATGTAAATTATGTGGTTGTGTGAAATGACCAAAGTGGCATTAAATCATTTATGGTTCTCCTCTTCCTTCCCTTCTAAGGCATCATTTTCATTCAGGCTTCCTGGGGTCCTTTATTTCCCTAAGTAGGACTAATGGATGAAGAAATTTGGAAGGTCATTATTAGTTAGCTTTAGATTTAAAAAGGCAGGGAAAACTGGATAATAAAAGCAAGAACTTGTATTCATCAAAAAATTACCAATTAGAGTATAAAGCAGCACCTGAAATGGGAAAATATATTCATAATAGTATATCCTTAAAAAATCTATTCTCATACTCATTTTGGTTGCACATACACTAAAATCAGAATGATACAGAGAAGATGGGCATGACTCCTGTGCAAGGATGACATACAACTTCATCACACATTCCATATTTTTGAAAGTTGCTAAGAAAGTAAATCTTAAAAGGTCTCATCACAAAAAAAATTTAAATCCTGTTAATTGTGTATGGTGATGAATGTTTAAAAAAAAAAAACTACCTTGAATATATAAAGAATTCCTATAGATCAACAGGAAAAGAGCACACAAATCCAGTACAAAATGGGCAAAAATTGCCAAACACTTTACAAAAGAAGATATCCAAAAAGCCAATGAAGATAAGAAAAGTTCAATTTCACCACTCATCACAGAAACACAACTGAAAACCACAAAGAGGTTTCACTACACACCTACCATAATCGTGAAAAGGAAAACAAACCAGCAACAATGGAAAATAAATGTTAGTGAGAATGTAGAACAATCAGAATGCTCATATACTACTGTTAGAAGATTAATTAGTATAACCACTTTGTTAAACTGGCAGTATCTGTTAAGGCAGCCTATGCTGAGAAGGAGTTAAAACAACTGGGTTTTGATCCAATCACTATACTAAGGAAAAGTCCTTGAGAGAAAGGCTCTTGGGGTCATCCAATCTAATCTTCTTCATAAATGGACTTGTGGATAAATAGACTAATGATATTTGCTAGGAAGAAGTGACCTTATCTCTGAAATGCCCTTGTCAGGATGTCTTAGTTAAGGATTATCTATAGAAAAAGAACCCAGGGTATATGAGAAATGGCCCTCTGGAGGATTTTACCTAAACTACATGGCTCTCTGGCTTCACAATTTAAATGCTCCTGCTGTGTGAAGTGACTTTACAGATGTAACATAGAGATCTTATCTATTATTCTGAGCCACATGTTGGACAGAAAAAGACAGATCCTGGGAAACTACCTTTGATGCCTCTCTCTGCTCTTCCTGAAATTGTCAATTGCCTTCCAACTGAAATTATTTAATAAAGTTTGCTAAAGGATAAGATCTCTGTGGCTTATATGGGTCTGATTTGATAATTCCATCCTGTTTGTTAGCTTATACAATTAGACACAATAATCCCACTCATGGGTAGATGCCAAGCAGTAATCATTCACATGTTCAGCTAAGACCCAGAACTGTTATATTCATTTTTAATGGCTACAAACTGGAATATATCTAAATGCCCATAAAGAAAAATGGACAAATCGTGGTATGGTCACACAATGGAATGCTATTCAGCAACTAATAACTTCAACTACATGAATTAGTATGGATGCAACTCAGAAACATAATGTGATTGAATTAAGCCAGACTCAAAGGTATGATATGTTTCTAAAAGCATAAAAACAGGCAAAACTAATCTAAGCTGTTAAGTCAGGCAATATTACTCTTGTTGGGGGCCAGTCTCTCAAGAGACCTCTGAATAGATTTGTATAACTTTCTGTGGTTTTTAAACTGATAAGAACAGATACTACACTTGATCTTAGCCAAAAGGCCGATAAGCGATTTTCTGTGGTTTTTAAAGCCACATTATTTATCTATTCAGTGTGACAAAATGTGGAGATTACTGATGAGATGGGAACAAGAAAATATTAGGATTATCACTGAAAAGAAAAAAAAAACCTGAAGAACAGATATAAGTGAAAAACACTTTAGGTATAGCAGGTCATCTAATTGTTGATATTTGTTAACTTCGGTATTTTGGTTTTAAGAAAATATCCTTGTATAGAGTTTCTAATAAAAAAAGATAAAAACAGAGAGGGAGGCAAACCATAAGAGACTCTACAGGTAAGAGAACAAACTGAGGGTTGTTGGAGGGGAAGTGGGTGGGCGGGATAGGCTAAATGAGTGATTGGTATTAAGGAGGGCACTTGTTGGGATGAGCACTGGGTGTTATATTAAGGGATGAATCACTGAATTATAGTCCTGAAACCAATACTATACTATATGTTAACTAACTTGAATTTAAAGTTTTAAAAAAGTTGATACTGTCATGTTTTATCCCATATTGTTAGCAAATATTCAACTTTATTTTTTAGTATCTCCTAAGAACCTTAAAACATTATTGCTAAATTAAGAATTCCAAATATATATTCCCCCCTTCTGTAATAACAACAGTGGTGATGATGATGGTAATAATTATAACAACAAGTATGCCTTAAACCCCCAATCTATAAGATATTGTGGCTAAACCCTCTAATACCAGGGTTCTCAATTTGGAGTCCAGTAAAATTCAGGAATTCATAAATTTAAATGGGAAAAATTACATATTTTCAATAAGCTTTAACTGAAATTTAGCACTTCTTTCAATAGAAATTTAGCATTTCCTTCAAAAGAAATCACAAATATTTTCATTACACATTGCACTTACAACATATATCCTGAAATAATTGTTTATGCTCATCACTACATTGAAATTATGAATTATTAGATTCAGCATCAGATCTTGTTATTTAATGTGTAGAGACACATGTATACTACTATGTCACATGATCTTTAAAAATTTGATGACTCTATTTCAAAATGATTGGTTGGCTTCTTTGTGATTCTATATATTTTATTTTATAGATAGAAAAAAATGTTATTTTCAATTGCACCAAAGGGGTCCATGGCAATAAACAGTTAAGAACCCCTACAATATCTCATTTAATTCTTACAGCCTATGATATTGATATCATTCTCATTTTAGAGCTAAAGGAAATGAAGCAGGGAAAGTTGAATGACGTTCCTAAGTTCAGAAGACTAGTAAATCCCAGACCTAGAATTAGAACCTAGATCATCTGGCTTTAGAGCCTGTCCTTTTCACCATTGATCTATGTAGCCTGTTAGGAATTTAAATTCTAGCACAGTGACTTTCAAACTGTTGTCTACAGAGGTCTGGGGTTGTTTGTATATGCCCCAGGTATGAGAAGCAGGAGAGGCCAAACTTCAGGCAGAGTGGCCCTTTGTTGATAGCTTAGTGTTCAACTTAAAATTTTGTATTTAAGCAACTATTAACAGACAAAGGAATAAATCAATAGCAAAGCAATAATAGGAGGGGACTTTAATACCCATTTACATCAATACATAGATCAGTCAGACTGAAAATCAAAAAGGAAACAGTGCCTTTGAATGACACATTGGACCAGATGGATCTAACAGATATATTCAGAACATTCCACTCCAAAACAATGGAATACACATTCTTTTCAAGGGCACATGGAACATTCTCCAGAAGAGATAACATGTTTGGCCACAAAATAAATCTTAATAAGTTGAAAAGGATTGAAATCATATAATGCATCTTTTCCAAACACAATGGTATGAAACTACCAATCCATCACAAGAAAAGATCTGGAAAGAATACGAATAACAAATACATGGAGGTTAAATAACATGCTACTAAACAATGAATGGGTCAGCCAAGAAATCAAAGAGGAAATAAAAACATACATGAAGAAAAATAAAAATGAAACACAATAGTCCAAAATCTTTGGGATGCATAAAAAGCTATTCTAAAAGGGAAGTTTATAGCAATACAGGTGTACCTCAAGAAGCAAGAAAAATCTCAAACAACCTAACCTTATACCGAAATGAACTAGAAAAAGAAGAACGAACAAAATCCAAACTCAGTAGAAGAAAGGAAATGAAAAAGATTATACCACAAATAAATGAAATAGTGACTAAAAAAGCCAATAGAATATATCAATGAAAACCTTTAGCCAGACTCATCTAAAAAAGAGAGACAGAGAAAGAGTGAAAGAAGACTCAAGTAAAATGAGAAATGAAAAAGGAGAAATAACAACAGATACACAGAAATACAAAGGGTAATAAAAGAATGTAATAAAAAAATTATACATCAACAAACTGGAAACAACCTAGAAGAAATGGATAAATTCCTAGAAACATATAACTTTCCAAAACTTAGCCAAGAATAAATAGGAAATTTAAACAGACCAATTACTGGCAATGAAATTGAATCAGTAACAAAAAATTGTCTAAAAACAAAAGTCCAGGACTAGACAGTTTCATAGGTGAATGCTACCAAACATTTAAAGAAGAGTTACAAACCATAAGAGACTCTTAATTTTAGGAAACAAATTGAGGGTTGCTGGGAGGGAGAGGGATGGGGGGACGGGTTGGCTGGGTAATGGACATTGGGGAGGGTATGTGTTGTGATGAGTGCTGTGTATTGTGTAAGACTGGTGAATCACAGACCTGTACCCCTGAAGCAACACATTATACGTTAATTAAAAATAAATAAATAAATAAATAAATAAAGAGTTAATACCCATTCTTCTCAAACTATTCCAAAAAATAGAAGAGGAAGGAAAGCTTCCAAATTCATTCTATGAGGCCAGCAATTCCCTGACACCAAAACAAGATAAAGACACTACAAAAATAATGAAAACTATAGGCCAAGATCTCTCATGAAGATAGATACAAAAATCCTCAACAAAATATTAGCAAACCAAATCCAACAATATATTTAAAAAAAAAAATCATTCAACATAATCAAGTGGGACTTGTCCTAGGGATGTAAGAGGGTTCAATATTTGCAAATCAATCAACATGACACATCACATTAGCAAGACAAAGGACAAAAAACAGTGATTATCCCAGTAGATGCAGAAAAAGCATTTGACAAAGTACAACATCTATTCATGATAAAAAAAAAAAAACTCTTGATAGTTTAGGTTTAGAGGGAACATACCTCAACATACTAAAGATCATATATGAAAAACCCACAGCTTACATCATATTCAACGGTGAAAACCTGACAGCTTTCCCCATAAGATCATGAAAAAGACAAGGATGTCCATTCTCACTACTTTTATTCAACATAGCACTGGAAGTCCTAGCTACAGCAGTCAGACAACAAAAAGAAATAAAAGGCCTCCAAACTGGTAGGGAAGAAGTAACATTTTCACTATTTGGAGATGACATGATACTATGTATATAGAAAACCCTAAAGACTCCACCAAAAAAACCTACTAGAACTGATAAATGAAGTCAGTAAGGTCACAGGATACAAAATCAATACACAGAATACAAATGTTGCATTTCTATACACTAATAATGAAGTAAACAGAAAGAGAAATTAAGAA